TGGTGCACCAATTAGTCCCTCCTATTTGCTGGTGAAGTCGCGTGAAAATCCCTACACCAAGGTATGCGCACTTCGCCGACAAAGCTCATCGGCCTCACTGAATTCGCTGAGTTCCTCGCTGAGTGCTGGCGGTGGCGTGCTAAATAGCTTGCGCTTAGACGCAACGAAACGCCTCAATCAGAGTCTCGATGATAATATGCCGCGCGCAGTCGCCAGCCGAAGGCGACATTCATCTAAAGCTCATCAAAGCCTAGATGAGTCCAAAATGCTTTTGCTGATGGAGGGCATGGAGGATGTAAAAAATGGGGATTCCAATAATTTAACGTCCAAAAGCAAAGATGAAGAGTGTGCTGTGTTTGTTGAGGATGATGATGTGTTCGTCAGCAGTGAAAGCAGCGCTAATAAGGATTCTAATGACATTGAACACTTTATATTTCATCCAACAAATCCATTCCTAGAAGATGGCATTACGAAAGCAGAAATAGTTAAAGCTACGTCCCAATCACCAAAACACGTTACTGCGGCAATGGTAAATGAAAATGATGCAGATGAAAGTTTAGGTGAAAACGAAATTATGGCAAATATACCAAAACTTCCAAAGGGTATAGCGAAATTGCAAAATAAGAACATTTTATCGAACTACAACACTGTAAGCAATATAATAGCCAAACAAATTGCGAATGCTTCCAACATGGGTGATAGTGTGCGACGTGTTAGCAGTGGCGGCGGTGGTCACTTTAGAGATCTCAAGGAAAAAATTGCGGCAACGAGCAGAAAAGGTAAGTGCATAAACACTATTATTTCATATACAATTCAAATAACAAACAATTTCCCAGGCATATCCTTCGATGAGATCAGCAACACCGAAAAATCGCAACAGAAGTTGGTGAAAAACTTCAATGAATTTCTCAACTTTGCTTCAATGAATAAAAATCGCATTGCAGACAAGTTTGCTACGACGCCGCCGACCGTAACTGGCAACAATGACGCCAGTCTGAACGCCTATAGTAAAGACAAATCGAAGACACCTTCACCTACACACGCGTATAAGTCAACAACCGCCCAGACAACACCACACCCGCTTGTGCAGCTAACACGCAGCGCCTTCGTCTCCTCACTCGATGAATCCGATTCATCGTCGGTGCCCGACACGACATGGAGCGGCTCTACCGCCGCTACAGCAATACAACAGACCAACAATGCTAGTAATAATAGCTTGCATATGGAACTTGCATCGCTTGGCTCCTCGGCCGGACATACACCCGATCGCACCCCCACATACGAACGCAAAAGTGATGGCGCCGATTTAGCGGAATCATGCGAAGTCAGCGTTAGCACATTAGCAGATGTGAAACATACGCCAACAAAGAACTTGCTCGCAGAACCAAGTTTGACGCCTGACGATAGTCAAGATCAAGACTATTACCCGATGACAACGGCTATCACGCGTGAGTTGCGCTTGGAAGCGGACAATTTGGATCGTCAAGTGTTTGGTGAGCCTGTCGAAAAGCAGCCAGCTGTCAATTGCGAGTTTGAGTATGAAAAACTCGACAGAGACTCTATGGACTTGGTAGAGGATCTCAAAGAAAATGAGATTGTGGCATGTCCCGACATTAGCGAATTGCTGATACGTCGACGCAGCCGTAATAGTCGTTCGAGAAGCAGTATAGAACCGTTACAGCGTGTTACAACTAGCAGCGCTTGGCAAGATGCTGCTGAGCTCCCCAATACTATAATCAATAGTAATTCAAATGGCACAGACACAGCGGCACAGTCGGCACGTGGTGTGCTCAATCCCTTCATCGATCCGCACGTTAGTCCGCTCGTAGATGGTATTACAAGTGTTTTGCCCAACAGCAGCAGCTTGCCTGAAGTGTTGGTGCCGATATCCACAGACACCGCCAACGCATCGCCAGTAGAGTTGGCCACCAATGCAGTGGATGAGATTGCCTTTACGAAGCCGCCACTGGCTGCTGGCGAACGTGCAGCTGGTAGTGCGGGCGTAGTAGGTGCAAGAACTCCTGTTTTACCACCACCCAACGAATTCGGTGGCGGTAATCCCTTCCTGATGTTTCTTTGCCTAACGCTGCTGCTGCAGCATCGTCAAACCATTATGAAAAGCGGCATGGATTACAATGAGATTGCAATGCACTTCGACAAGATGGTGCGCAAGCACGATGTTACGCGTGTGTTGAATCAAGCGCGTCGCATGTACATTAACTATCTGAAAGAACAAAATGCGTATAAGCAACAGTTGCAGCAGGCCGCTGAGGATGCAACAACAAGCAATGATGTAAATAGGAATTCCAAATCGCACGAAGTGGCAGTGCAGCAGCGCACAGACGCAAGTTGCAGTGGCACGATCGGCACGGCAACAAAGTCGTAGAGGAACTAGACGAACGGTGTTAAAATCTGTGTGTGAATGCAACGGTCCCGAAATAACTACAAAAAAACACCAAAGAATTTTTTAATTAACTCACGTAGTTAGTCAGCCACCAATTTGTTAAATAGTTTTGTTTTATTTTTGATATTTTTCATTTTGTTTTTGTTTATCTTTTTTTTTTATTGTTTTCTTGAATTTTTTGTTTTTATTTTGTTAAGGATTTTATTGATATAATTATTTTTCTATTGTTATTGCTTTATGTTTTTTTTTTGTTTTTGTTATTCACGTTTTGTTAAAAAATAGAAATATTTAGATATAAAAAACGCTTTGTGCCCCATAAGACTTTTAGATTTAGGCAATGCAGCGGGTGAGTGAAAGTGATGCGGTTTATTTGAGCATAGGAAACTCAATGTGCTGAATATTTGTTGTGTTGAATTAATTATTGAGATTTGATTATTGACGCTAGGATATTTTCACTGAGTTTAGTTATGCTTTTAAGCATACTATTTCTGTTTGTTATATTAATTTATGTTTTGGTACTTAATATAGTATTTATTGTGTTAGTTTTTGTTGTATTTTATTTGTTATTTTCCGCATTGCTCTCACTGTCTCCCTGCACAAATTTTCAATGTGCGTTTATAGTAATTACTTTTTTAACATGTACTTAAATTAGAAATATTTTTGCACTGCTAATTAGAACACCTTTCATTACATTCCATTTGCAAAGAAATTTTTCTAAATATTCAAGGCTACTACTTTACAATCATTCTTAATTGAACACATACATACATATATGCGTAATATTAGTAAGTTAAGGTTTTTTGCATAAAACGATTTCAATAATTTTGATGTGACTAATAAAAATTATATTATAAAAATCTAATTGATTTAAAAAATGAAAATAAAAATTCTTAAATACTTCGATATAAAATTAGACTCGCTTAAATTGAATATGTGTATATACATATGTATATTATATACATAGGAACAAAATTATATTAATGAAAAATTAAGACTTAAGTCTATCGGTTAACTTTATCACATAATCTATATGGTAAATAGTAAGCAAAATAAATAAACATTTACTCTAACATAAAAACAAAACACAAGCAGAAGTTTCAATTGCAACAGAATTGTATGCAAATTTGATTCAAATATTTTTAAATTTGAGTAAAGTAGTTAATATACGAACCATGAAGAATAGTTGAAAGAAGATTAGCAGCATTGATTGAATCCTTCTGTTTTAAGGTTAACTTACCACATTGAGTTCAGGTTGAGTTGTTATGTGCCGAAAATTGTATTACAACATATTTATTATTTATAATACTTGCTCGTCATCTTAAGTCGTTTAACAATTTATGCTCCCAACAACCGAACAATTTGTTGCAGACCTGCAGACGCAAAACCTTGAATTCAAATGGCTTTGGTGTACGGTGCTGTGTCGACAGTTGTTAATTGAATATAGGTTGACCGTTACATTTACATATATCGGATACAAATGTTTTCATATGGAGAATTTGCTGCTCTTGTTGCTTATTAATTTATGTACATAAAAAGCACTTTTCTATTAAAAATTTTCACTATAAACACTAAACAAAGTCATAAAATTTTTCGTATTAATAACTATTTTAGTATTTTTAAACATTTTAGTAGTTTTAAAAATTTCATACTTTATGTTATTAGAAACTTTAACTATTCTGTTAATTGGAGTTTTCATAATTCTTTTGTCTTATACGCAGTCGTAATGGAGTTTAATACCGTCTTTGTTTATTAATCGATAACGATAATTAACGATTGTTAGCAGTTCCGCTATAAACATATGACAAATATGAAGGGTAATAAAGAGACGCGGAAGTGAAATTGAATTCAAATTAGAAAAAAGGAGAAATCCAAAGTAAATATATGTATGTATATGTATGTATCTGATATTGATTTCTAACAAATTCCTTATAAGATAAAAAATGAAATAGTTATTAATATCATGATTTCAAGTAGTGTAACACAAGATACGCTGGAAGTGGATTATTTGTTAAAACTTCAGAAATTTGAAAAGTTACTATCAAATGAAACAGCAACTATATACAAAGAAAGTGTTTATTTTTGAATGCAAAATTGCTTATTAAATCACAAGTAAGACATATCATACATGTGGCGAACCTCAATGAAGACAATGCACGTATGGAGGAAATATAGTACAATGCAATGGACACGCATTTCAGAAATCATAACTTATCAGTATACACTTCAATACAAAACACTTAAACACCAACGTTATTTTAATACAAATTTGAATACAAAAAGTGTATAAGTATATTGTAATATTTTGTAAAAAAAAAGTATGTCGTACTATAAATCCTTAAAGGATACAAAGCATATTATTTCATACCATGAAATTTTTTTAATATATATTGAAAAAAAAAATAATAACAATGCGACAGTTAAAACAAAAAGAAAAAATACAAAAATCGCAAGTACGTACATACATACATATATATGGACCATGAATACAGGAAGCAAAATACAAATTCATAGAATCGTCATTCGAAACAAAACAAAAAATACGATAATAATAAACTTGTAACTTAACACAAATGCGCCTCTGGGTACATAGTTATATTTAAAAATTATATTTCTTCTTTAGCCGCTCGCGTATAATCAAACCTTTAATGAGCTTCTTCCAGTTGCCATAAACACGTGCTTCATATTTATCTTGCTCCTTTTTCTCTTGCTCTTCCTGATCTTGATACCAAGCCGCCGTCACTTGATCGGCAAACTCCTCACAAACGACAAAACCATCGTATAGAGGATGACAGGCGCCTTGATGAAAATCAAAACCAATCACTGCGTGCGCACAATCGATGCCAAGTCTTTTGCAAATGCGATTTAAGCCCGTCACTGAAAGGGATCATAAACAAATTGTAATTGAGTGAGCACTCGTTAAAAAAAAAAAGGGATAACTTACAGCGTAGGTGTACTGTTTTCTTGGGCAACATGCACTCTTTGAATAGTTCCACGTTGCCGTAGGCATTGCGTGGCACAACGCCATTTTTGGCTGTTGGCGGCTCATAATCCTCTGTCTGCCAATAGCCAAAAATCTCCAGCGGTTGGTCTTTTATGACCGTTTGTGTTAACTATGGTAGCGTATATAAAATATTAAATTAAATGTATATAAATTTTTATGTAGCTTCGCTTATTTACCCGATCCCATTTGGGGCGCGCCTTTACAATTTTATAAGGCTGTTCGCCCAGCTTAACAGTTCGAGCCTGCTTCAGCCAAATTTCGCGCGAATGTAGGGTGTGCACACATTCACGCGCATATACCGGTTCACCACGTATAAAACCTAAGGTTGGTGGTTCCGGTGGATAAATTGCTTGGAATTTAAGTAAATGACGCCCAAGCGCATACAACGGATGATCTTTGTACTCGGCAATTGAGGTAGGCATGGGTTTCTCTTCGTGTATACGACGTAGCTCCTGATCCTCGCGAATGTCACGAGCTGTGCGTTGACCATAGTACGGTGCAAAGGCTGCTTCCACCCACGCGCGTTCAACACGTGACTTGCGTACAGTTGTTGTCCAATTGGGACAATAACGAGCAGTCACATCCTTAATGCTCAAATCATTTTGGAATGCGAACACGTAAGCGAAACTGGAGGAGGCGGCTTTCTAAAAATATTGTATTTTTAGAAAATACCATTTTCAAATGGTTTATTTGTAAAGTAATTTTTGAGCGTATTTTCTTTGCGCTTTGCCAATTTTTAATGCAAAATAATATATTACTCACCCTGATCGCCTCTACGGAGTGCAATTTGCCTTTAAACAACTCTATGCAAACCCACTGCTCTTCCGCATCGGACCACACTTCCACCCAAATATCTGCCGCTGTTGGATTACGCTTGACTTTACCGCCACCACCTTCCTCCTCATCGGACGACAACACACGACGGTCCACAGGCTTCTTTGTTGGTATTGGTGGCGGCTTTTTGGGCTGTTTCGGTGGTGACGGCTCAAAGTCGGAATCGGAATCGTCGTCACGCGATCGCGATTTCATTTTCAACTTTTTTAATTGTGGACGCTTACTTTTAGACGACGCCTGCTCCATACTATCGTCAGCGCCATCTAATTGTGGCACTGGCGGTAGTTTTTTATCAGTACCAGCAACCTCATTAGATTTTTGACGTGAACGTAAGATACGTCCTGCTCGTGTACTGCCTGCAATTGATTCAGCGGCGCTGGTACCATGTCCTTTCAAAAAATCTGTCGAGATTTGTATTTTCTGCTTTGGACTTTTTGACCTGGCACGTGTCGCGATACGGCCAGCTGTCGGCAGTGCTTTTACATTAGCTGCGGGCTCGGGAAATTTATTTCTATAATCTGTGCTCTGTAGGAACGTCGGTGAGATATGCATTTTGGGGGATTTACTTCGTGAACGAGTCACACGCGTACGGCTGCTACTGGCATTTGGTTGGTTCTCACGTTCGGCAGTGATAACTGTTTTACCTGATTGGATCACGATTTTCGGTATGACAGGTGAACCAATCTGTATTACTGGCTTAGCGCTTTTAGTTGCCGCTTTTGCTTTATTTATTATTGGCTTCTCAGTGGAAATTTGCCGCTTGGCTTGTGCAGTTGTCATTGCTTCAACACTGAGGCCAGGCTTATCAGCCGAAAAGTCGAGCTTGTCACGATCATTAGGATTCGTGGCATTTCTTTTGCTCTTTAGACGTGAAAGCTTCGGTTTTACTCCCTTTGTAGACAATTTTTCTTTTGAGCTGTTCAGTGCATTCTTAGCATTCGCTGCCGCTTCCTCCGTTGGTACTTTGACCAGAGCTCTTTGTGAAGGCTGCTGTGTTTGTGTTAGATTTTCATCTAACTTTACAATGTTATCCTTACTTTCAGATTGTTCCACTGCTTTTAATTCGGCCAGCGTGGCACTTGACGTTTTTTTGCTTCCTCCGTGGGAGCTTTTCTGCACCGCTTCCTTACCGGAACTTTTTGAAACTACCTTGGCACGACTACTTTTGGCAACATCCTTACCTATCTTTTCTTTTTCCTTCGTGACTTTCTCTTTAACAGCCTTCTCACTGCTCTTATCCCGTGCTTTCTCTTTTTCTTTATCTCTCTTATGTTCCTCTTTCACACTCTTTTCCTTTGCTTTTGTAGCCTTCTCTTTGCTGGTCTTTTCAAGCTGCTTCTGATTCTCAGTTCCACCTGCTATGCCACCTTCGACTTTTAACTTCTTTACCTCCACCGCATTCTCTTCCTTTTTATCGCACTCGCGCTTTAATTTGATCGTCAACAAATCTGATGGGGACGGTCGCAGCGGCAGTGGCTGCATATTGACAATCAGCCGGCACTGCAAGCCCATCGCACGCAGTAAACACACAAATATAAATACAAAATCCTGTTTGCAACTAGCCTCCTTACGTTTAATCTGTGACATGAGCTCCCGCTTCACTCGCCGCCTACTCTTACGCACCTTCTCACCATATAAATTGGGCGAAGCCAACTTCACAGCGGTCTTATACCAAGTGACCATTGACTGAAAGTACTTGATCTCGGTGCCACGCTCTGGTGGATAGGCATTGCTACTCGGCAGCAGTTTTAATGCAGCCTGCATCAGCGGTGTGTCGTTGAGCAGCCGATTGTAATGGTAACTACGTGCAAAACAACACAATAATGTAGTTTTGTGTAAATTAAAGTAACGTTCTTTCAAATCACGATTCAATTTGCGTTTGAGCGCCAACTCTAAGTCCTGTTGGTTTTTCTCTTTGGTGCGTCGCTGTTTGCCAGGCAGCTCCACATGAATCTCCAAACCCTCCGAGGTGTTCAGCAGTGCGCTGGAATCGTGAGTGGTTGAGTGCGACACAGAGTGTGTGTCTTCTGAAATTATTAAAAAAAAGCATGTCCATGACATGGGAGTAACAAGCGTAAGTAAAATTAACACAGCCAGTAGTTTAGTAGTAGCGGTGCGACGTACGGTATTGGTTAATGACTGCGAGTGGAAGCGGTAGCTATACGTAGACGCAAATACGTAGAAACTACAAGCCAACTACAGAATACTAAGCTACTAATAGCATAAGCGCACAAAAGTTATAGTTAAATATTAAACATCACCAAAATATATTTAAATTTAAAGCTTAACCTATATTGACCACCACCATTAAGGACCCAATTTTTTGTTTTTTTAGACAAAAACGATTATTTTACTTTTTTGCATTAAATTGTTTGCATTTTTATTTTCCACTGAAACGTGTGAGTATATGTGTACTTGTGTGCAAGTGTATCGTGCGGCTTAAAATCCAAATAAATTTTTATGCTTTACTTTCTATATTATTTTTTTGGATTTTACTTGAATTTAACTACATTTATTATTTAACGGTTAATTGTTTGAGAACTTTTCCATACTTGTGTTAACTACAGCTGCGCTAAAAGGTAAAATTGTTTTTAAATTATTTTTTATTTTAATTTATTTGGTTTTTAACAATTTTCGCTTTAAATTTGCTCTTTCCTTTGTTATTAGTTTGTATTTATTTTTGTGATTTTTGCACCTTTTCTTATGACAAACACTTAGCTTTGCTTAATCTCGTTTTTGAATACATGATTTAAAGTAAATTCGTCAACAATCAGTTCGAGTTAATTAATGAATCTATATATGAATACATATGTTTTGTAAAATATGTAACAAATAAATGAAAGATGCTACTATGACTTGTTAATGTTGTTAGTAATTTAAATTTGAGGTTAGTTAAAACAACTTTTTATTTTAAATATAAAAAAATTGGTTTACATGGCACTGTCACATATTAGACAAAAACTTTTTAAAAGCGCTATCTTGGATAAATTTTTATACAAAAAATTAAAACAAAAAGTTTTTAAGCGTTGGTGTCAAATATAGTAATATTAAATCAAAATTTCGAAATTGCTTTCACTTAATATAGGATAAAACCGTTCCTATACTTTAAAATCCGACATTAAACTAAATTTTTCATTACCAAATTTACTTTAAAGTGGAAATAAAACTATAAATGCAATAATTGTTAGCAGACTTTTAGAGTTTTTAATGCTGCTAAAGCTGCTCGATAACATATTTCTGGTTTATTTTCATTTAAAATATGACGTGCAGTTATCTATTTCTATTAAATTGTAAATAGGAAGTTAGTTATGTTTGTATATTTGTATGAATATTTGACACACCGATGATTTTATGCTGTTAATTTTATATTTTTTTGAATTTAGAGCTAAAATGGTTTCTCTTCAGTCACTTAGAAACCATGCTCCCTTTAATTGTATGAATAGATTAGTGTAACCACTAATACATACGAATATAAAAGCGCTTCAAATTGCAAATGATAAAGACTGTTATAGATAAACTGAGCGTGTTATCTGAATATATATCTATTGTTCGATCGAATTTCACCACTATCAATACTTTAAATTTAAGAACAATTCTAACTACAGTAATATGATTTCGAAATATTTAATTGCATTACTAGCTATAATACTTTACTTTATATATACTTTTAATTATTACACTCTTTTGACAATATGTAACCATGCCTCACCAGCACGAAGACAGATACATACAGTGGTTTAGGTACTTGGGTATTGAATATTTTCTAATTTTGCTATTGCTTAAACCGATGCTGCGACAAAAGTGGGCTTGAAAAGACATTTATTTAAATATAAAAAGTATATATTAATGCCGTGAAAACACACCGTATACTATTTATTAACGTAAACACCCACTTGGTTATGCAAATTGAATAAAAAGTAAATTTTTTTTTTTAATTTTAAATTGTAAAACCAATATGTGTCAACTGCTTATTTACTGTTTTAAAATATATCTAAAAAAACTGACTGGCGTTTTTACGTCTATTTTTTTTGTTTTTTTCAAATTCGTTTATTATTTATATACTTCAAATTACCGTTTAAGTATGTGTACATGAACCATTATGTTAAAATCGAAAAAAGTTAAGAACGCATAATGTACGCACAAACCTACACACAGTCTCATTTGAACAATTGGAAGCGCATTTTAGACATTTTTTTAGTAGCATTCTACCACTCACAGTCCACTATTTGCGTTTCCTACCTGCCACTTCTTCAAAGTCCGAATCATCAGTATCTCCGACCACAACCGTTGAAGCTGGTCTCGTTTTGGTATGCCGTTTAACGCGTGTCGACTTTGTTTTGTTTAGTTTAGACGGTGCACGTTCAATTTCACATTCATCGTCCTCCTCTTCGCCATCATCCTTCGATTTAACACTACGCAAGGCAGTATTACCTTGCTTTTCGCCCAATGCAAGTAGCGAGTTGACATCCATAGCGTTTGCATTCACATTTTCACTTGTTGTTTTGGTGTCTTGCTGTTTGGTTACAGCAGCACGTTGCGCTATGGTTTCCTTGGCACGCTCCAGACTATTAACATTATCCAACAAATTTGCAAAATCAAATGACTTTCCATTTGCCTGCTCATCGGCACTAGATTCGTTGTTATCTTCTGAACCCGAATCAGAGAGTTTCGCTATACCCGCATTGCAATCGAAAACGGGCACTGGTGAAGTGGATTTTTCTTTGTCTATACGTTGTACGTTGAAGAAGCTAGATTGAAAATCGATATCCTCCGGATTTACCAGATAATCTTCGACGCTTGATTCGCTGCTGAAGTCGATGCCAGGTTCGCCACTTTCATTGGGCATTGGGGCGTTTTTTGAAGCCGTTCGTGATGTTGACGCCGATGGTGAATTACTGCCAGCACTATTGGGCGATGGAAATGTTTTTGGTGGTGGCCGATATTTGTTGTAGAGTTTAGTGCGCAATGATTGACCAGCGGCTTTGCGTTTCTTAATGGCAGTTTGCTTAACGGCAGCTTTAGCAGCCGTTGTCCCCCTATGTAGTTAAACACACATTTTTATATACACATATAAACAATTTCACAACGAACGGTATAAAGCTTACTTTCTTCTTCCAACAGCACTAGAACCACTGATATTTTGCGCGCCTACAGTTTGACGCAGCTCTTCGAAATCGCTATCATCATCATCAGATGATTCTCCACCACGTACATCTTTTGTTGGCTTCCATTCATCCTCGCTGGCTGAAAATCCTTCAGACATTGATTCTTCTTCCTCGTCCGACATTTTCGTGCACAACCTACGCGCGGAAAATATATTTTCACATCAAGAATTTCGTTCTGCTATATCGATTTTTTGATGCTGTTTGAAATTATTGTGAGCTCTTCTTCTATACACGCTGAAGATGTATTCACAATAAACGGGCCCATAAGAAAGGGATTTATTGTTACATTGTTTTATAGCAACATTGAAAAATTACCGCCAATAACTGTAATTTGAAGCAATTTGTGAGGAAGGGAAAGTAAATTTGTAATTATTTTTGCATCTTTATATTTTTTACATTACACTCTAATGAAAAAGTCAATTAGCTTAATATTTTAATTCTGCCCCCTTAATATAGTGTTAATCATAGCATGTTTTCTATCGAAAGACAGGCAGTTTAACCAGAGAACGTAAAGTATAGAGAAGGTGCTCTCTCTGGTTTAACCTAACCGTAATGTTTCGAATGTATAGTTGTCCATGACGCTTTAAGGGCAACGCGCTTGCAATAATTATTAGCGCGCTTGTTTTAAGTAAGGTTGAATGTTTCCATATTAATGTTTCAACTTTTGCCGGTTAAACATATGTAATAGGTGTACGGAAGACACTCCACTACTAAAACTTAGAACTAGATATGAAATAATACTTTAAAAGCACGCAAGTAGGTTTCATTGTCCTTGTAAATGTCGAATTGTTAAAAAACGCGCGACCTTCTTGTTTGTGCATATTTCAGTAGTTATGACGTCATTAAAACATATTGAATGAGAGTGAAACAGTTTTGCACACGTTCGTTTCTCCCCAAAAAGTGGCTCATTTGTCGGAACCGCCGATATCGGAATATTATAACAAAGCTGCTACAAAGTGACCGATCGAACTCAAGTCCTTGAGGGATAACTTTTTAATTTAACAAGGTATATTCTAGAAATTTGGAATAAATATTATTTAAGGCATTGCTGTATTCTCCACAAAAATTGTTCAAATCGAACAACTATAGCTGTCTCACAAACTGACCGAAATTAACATTTTTTCTTGATTTTTTTTTTATAGAAGTCAATAGATCCTTACGAGTGTATGTGAATAATAATTTTAAAGCAAGCGGACAAGTTGCTGAACTTTTAAATATTGTATTTCTTCGCGGTTATGCAATTTCAAATCGATTAACTTGCACTCCTCGCAAGTCCTTCGCTTAAAATAGTTTTGAGCGGAAGAGAAGCAATACCTTGTACACATGACTGTATGCACATACATACACACATATATGTATGTACGTTTATAGTACGAAATTTGCAAGCGGATTTTTTCACAACAAGCGTCCAAGTTGAGGTAGGTCACGGCATGGAAAGGAGCTACACGACCAAAACATGAAAAGGGAACACATTACAAAAAGAATTCAAAATATGAATGTGTGGGTTTATGCCCATAACAAAAGCGCAACAAATCGAACGCACGGTGGAATGATAGTCATTGGGGCCAACTTTGAATGTGTATGTATGCGTGCGTGTGTTTAGGTCGCGCGCTAAAGTGGAGCAATATTTTGCGACAAAATGGAATTGGAGAGCACGTGCTTTCTGGATGTCATGTGCTCACGGCATGTTTACTTTTATCCTTCACCAAACGCGTGCAGTTATAACTGTATAATTGTATTTTTGAATTAGCGCTAATTGTCAGACAACAGCGATGTAATGTCTACAGTCTAGACCATTTTGAAAAACGAAAATTGTAATGTATGCTATATTTTGAACAAATTAGTAGAACGTTTACTTTCCTTATGAAGTTATTTTCTAAGTACGAAGTTGCAAACAAAGTGGTTTTTGCGGCGAATATTTTTTGTTGATTCTGCGCACTGCTTGTGAATCCTTTTTGTTTTGTTGTCACATATGCAGCAAGGAACGCATAAACTTGACCACTGCAGTTCTAGTTGGATTTAATTCGAGACAGTTCCTTTCGGATTTTTGCGGTGAGCGGTCGCTAGCAAATTGTATTCGGTTCGCATCGAATTATAGTGATTAAAAATAAAAAAAAAGAAATAACCGGGTATGGTATTTTATTGCAATTAAATTCTATGGTGAGAAGTGTTCTATTTACTTTAAACAATGCCGTGAGTGTAGTTAATACTAAAGTGTGCTAAGATACGAGTATATTAAAACAACAAAATCGCACGGTGACTTTTTTTCAATTATTTACTTTTAAAAAAATGTTTTTAATTAGTAATTGAATTTTAAATTTCTTTAATTAGAACCCTAGAGAATTGGCTAACAAACATTTATTATTATTTTTTTTTAATAAAAAGTTTTGAAATGAAGTGAAAATCCTACGAAATCATTTTACTGCGATTTTGATATTACTTTGGACTTAAATCCGCAGCATTACCTTTAATACAAATAATTTAAAAACGATAAAAGAATAACTCAAGATGATCTATGATTGTTAATAATTTCATATAAAAACGCAAGTAGAACCAAATAAATATTTTCCAAATAGCTATAAAATGTTAAATCTAAACAATTACGCTGATAAATAAAGCAGTGACTAAAAATTCGTCTTATCACCAACATACAATACAAATAGCATAAATATAGGGACCTTACTAAAAATCTAGCATTTCCATATTAACGTTTTCCCTTTCAATTAGTAATTGTCTGCAAATTATTGGCATCACTGTTACTGACAGCTGAGCGAAGAAATGTCAAAAGAACACATGGAAAGAAAGCACGTAATCAAAACAAGATGAAATTGGGCGAATTTCATGCGCCCACAAAATCGAAAATTTCAGTTCATTCTTGTTCTGTTTTGCATCGTGTTAAGTCCTCTGATTTCATTCTTGTTATCTTCGCGTGCTTGTGTTTGCCTCGTCGTCAGATGTGTGATATCTACTTGGATTAAATCGTTCAAATAACTTATTAAGCGTGTACCCACTGGTGCATTGAAACAAAGAAAAAAAGTAATTATTAAAAAATAATTAATAAGAAAATACAGTGAATGTGTGCAAATGTGTGCAGTAAAACAATGCTGATTGTAGAAAAGGAATTCCTGAAAAGATTATGATGAAAATTCTTTGCATTGCATAAAAAGTGAATTGGAATGAAAAATATAATGTACAACAAGAAAATTAATTAATTAATGTATTATCTTATGTATGGTTGTGTTTCTCAGCTATGCCGGCGATATTATTATTCTAAGTAATAAAATATTAGTGCAAATTGCATCTTTGATAGCAGCGCGCGCATCTTGCTTTGGAACCATACAATGCTTTATCAATAGCAACCGCAGGCGGTGTCGAGCGGTGATCACTAGACAGTCAGCTGGTCGACGAGGTCATCACTCAACGTCCGCACCAGCATTCATTTGAGCAATAATGATAATATGCTATAATGTTGAGGCATTGACTTTCCGCTTGGTGACGCTTGCAAGCTAACCCGTTCAGTTACATAGCAATAAGTGTACATATACATATATATTTTTTGTGGTATTTTCGTGATATGTTTATTTCATAATAACTTCGCATACATGTGTGAAGTGTGAATTTGGATGATCTAGTGAAAGTGCTGAGAATAAAAAAAAAAAACATTAAATAATTTAAATTAGTATTTGGTTAAAGGTGCGAAGCAATAAAAATTCTTAGCTGCTAATAACATTTCAGTTTTTTTAAGATATAAAAAAAATTGTGGTGCGCGCTGCGGGCATTATTTAAATATTTCAGTTCAAGAAAAGTTTCTACGCTGTGCGCACAATTACGAAAATATTAATTAGGGTACGAAGAGCTTTACGCACTCACCGAAATCCCATCACTGAATAATTTCATTAAAACAAAATAATAAATTATGTATAATGATTGTTTTTAAAACACGGTTAGAAGTTTGGTGCGTTAACCTCAGAAAAGTGTTATTTGCGTACCGGTTTCAAAATAAGTGTATTTCACGGAAAGAGTGTTATAACCTGTACAAAATGCTGCAGTAGCCATACTCCTGACTTCATTAACTTGTGTGATTAAGGTCTCAAAGTAAATGACCTACATACATAGCTATGTGTTCATATACTATGTATATCAGTACTGCGGTTATACATATGTATATCGTTTTTTATTAACTAAATCAAGAAATTTGACTAATTTTTATTATTTGTATCAAATACATTTAACGCTAAAAGCGAGTATATATAATATTAAGTGACTTTAATCTGTTTCAGTAACCGTTAAACTTCTGTGTTTTTTTTTTTGCCATAAAACGTTACTCAAATGTTTTTCTAAAGTGCCGAGCTTACTGTTTTTTGGCAATATAAATCAATATCCAGCTCAGCCTCCTTTACATATAATCAAATTTCTTGTAAATGGAGATATTTGTATTGAAAATTTACCTTTTTTGGCCGATTTGCTTAATTATTTCATTAATATTCCCTTACTCTGCTAGTGCTTTCAGTATGTGTGAACGAAATTAGCACTTATTTTCTGGTCAAACAAATTCACACACAATGTACATATGTATGTATAAATACATTACTAATATATTCCCGTGCAAATTTAAATTTTTATTTCACAAAATGTATTTATTGTCTACCGAAAAAGATAAGTCTCACCTCTACTATTATTCTGAGATGTTGCTGACATTATCGTTATCACTTTACCTGTGGTGTTCGAAACAAATTACGCTGTTGGCGAAAATTTCTTTTATCATTGCCCTGCTGCTATCAAAACAAACTATAAATTTCATTTATTTATCAAGTAATGCTAACTTCGTTGGCCAATACAGGCAATGTAGACTCGTACGAATTTGAAAATATGATCGAATAATAACTATGCATGTGTTGTGTGTTTGCGCGCATTTCACAAATGCATATGAAATTGTTTACTTTCTACCCGTTTACAACGCCAGCAGCGCTGTACATTGTCAGCACACTGTCATGAGCACAGCGTCTCATCCACCCGCTACCTTGTTATTGCACTGTTGCCATTGAAAAAACATCACTTTGCATTAGGGCATCTGGATTTTGAAGTGTAGCGCGACTGCAATCACACTTTTAGTTTTTACAATACTCACGAACAACTAATAACCTGAGGATTCCGTGTGCTTCCATACACGCCGCTTCGATTATATTTGCACGTGGCTTTCGTTTGCGTTTATTCAATGGAATTTCCGCACAAATCTATTTGCCCTAATATTTCCTTCAGTTGCTTTTTAATATATTTGAAAATTCATTGTGCACTTTTATATGCGTTCATATTCAAAATTAATACCCGAAATCAGTGAGTGGTAAAGTGTAATAAATTACTGTGTATTATAAACAATGTGCGGCCGCTAATGCTTTGTACTATACGCTACACTAATTGTATACTTTTAGTTTCTACTTGAATGCATAGTGTTTTTATTATTTGACTATTATTGTGCGTTTTATTTATTTGAATATGCATTGGTGCTTTTAATTAACTGAGTGATGTGGTTATGCCAGCAGATATGATGTAAAACAGCCAAACTGATTGAAAAGCGGCATTCAAATTTAACGTTCGATATTATGACGGCAAATAGTGCGCTATTAAATTAATGCACAGTAAATATGGTACAATGTAAAATTCAATTATTAGCGGAAGTTGAATAAACAGATATTATGTTTTATTACTTCCTTACGCCAATTTGCTAATATAAAGTTGAAGTGTTACCAATTCTGACGTTGTTATAAAACAAGCTTAAAGCATAATTGAATTGAAATTTTACACTAAAGCTACAAATTAACACTAATTATTTTTTTTTACCGAACTTGGTTTTTTTAAATTTTTGTTGTTGTAGTTTTCACAACAAAGAGAAAAATACATACATATATTTGAAATATTTGTGTATAATTAATAATTTTATTGTAATAACAGAAAATCCAAAAATAAAGTAAAAAGGAGAATTGGATCTCCAATGTGGTTTTTGCAGCAGTCAATCGGAATTTATAATGCAGCCGTCGGCTAAACGTGTGATACTACATTATTGGGTATTAGAGTTTTTAAATGAAAAGCTGAGGTCGTATAAATTGGTGCAAAAATTATTTCGTTTTATTTTACCATAATTTTCAAGTAGAAGTTTGCGTTCGCTTTAAACACTAAACTTAACAACACCATTTTCCTATCTGGTTGGCAGAATAGCTGATCTTTGTCCTGTCCCACTGGCTGAGAAAGGTTTCACAAGTATTTTTATAACTTTTTTATATTGGAAAAAACCTTCTTTCTCATCGAAGCTGTAAATAAGCTTTTATGATGCGAAGTAAAATTGTTTAAGTGTTTACTTATGGTCAAAGATATGGAAAGAAATGCTTTTTGGCAGAACATTTTTTTATTTTATAAAAGCATCATTAATAAGATTTCAAATTCACTTTATAGAAATTTGAAAAAAAAAGTTTTAAAAGTAATGGTTGTATTATTGATCCATTAATAAAATAGTGGCCTGAAGCATTTTTTTTCAGTTTCTGTCATAAAACCCTCAATTAAGAAAAAAAAAAAAAATCAGAAATAAAGTCTCAAAAAGCGCTTCTATTAGTTTTTGATGATTTCAAAAAGCTGTATAAATTTCATTGCATTGTACCGAGCGGCTTGCGAGCTGGTGCTCAGCTTAGCTCAAAAAACATAGTTTTAAGAAAAATGCGTTTGGACACTTGAGATGCCTTCGCCAATTATGTAATAACTTGAAAATTATTTATCGGATGTATTTAAAATTTTCAGAGTATATTTCTAACGAATTATACTTTAAGAAAATGTAAAACGTAAAATCAATTTTTGTAAAATTCTGACGTCTCCTAGCCTCTAAGTAGCGTACAATGCTTGGAGATTCTTGATTCTAGCGGTCAACGGCTTAACATTTGAAGCGGTAAGAAGTGAAATGAATCAAATAAATTTTTGTTTCTTTTGTTGAGCATTCTTAACTTTGTGGAATTTTTAGAGTTGCAGCTTAGATTACAATTTTATTCCTTAGCCCGTTTTCGAATAACTTTTAATTATGGCTTTTTTTTAATTTTATTTTACTTCTTTATCGTTTCATTCACTTTAGAGTAAATAAGTAAGCTAAGTTAAGTACATAAGTGAGGTTATGTTCATCATATCTTCAAGCTTTTAAGCTCAATTTTTGACTTACATACACAAATATTAGAATTATTAAATATGTTATGTGTTTTATAAATATAATAAAAAATTTAACTTCAATTAGGCTAAGCAAATTCAAAAAAATATAAAAATATTGTGCTAAAGTTACGAAAATCTGTGTTTTTGTGTGCAATCTTTGAATGAAAATCGCTAAATTAAAACAAAATTGCGGAGAAACATTTAAAAATATTTCCCACTGTATTAGACCCTATGAAAAAATAAAAAGCTCGTCATGAAGTCGGCTTAGTGATGAAATATGTATCTACGCAAACAAAATATTTAGCCATCGTCAGGAAATAATAAAAATCGCAAATAACTAAATTAAAATTTTTCTTCTTCAATTTTATAGTACAAATCACTTATTCAATATCCATATGAGCACAAAAACAACAAAAAAAAAACATATATATTTGTGTGAGTGTCTTGGCAGCAGTTACTTTATAGAATTTCCATTACCCAGCGAAAAGCAACAGTAAAAAATACACATAAGAAGTAAGCAAAAAATAATAAAAATGAAATGTAAAATTGTGTGAGCTACTGAACTGACCTTAATCAAAAGCAAATAAAATCAACAGATACCATACATACATACATAAATACAATAAAAACACATACAAAACGCGAGAAGATGCCACAAGTAGCATTTCAATGAATGGAAAATAATAAAAGCTAATTTAATTACAATAAAACAGGAAAATAAAATCAAAAAGACAAAGTAAATAGAACTTAAGGATAAACAATAAAAATTTGTTAAAAACTTGCGTACAAACATAAATACAAATAGAACAAAATATAAAAAATATTGTAACAAGTGTTGAGTGTTGCTGTGCATTTTTGTGTGAAATCTTGTTCTACTATTTGTACAATTGCCTGTGTATTTATCTAACCATTAAAGAGCTCACAATATTGCCGCTGCTTCAACGCGTCGTCCGTCAGCACGTTACGGAATTTTATTTGATTTGCAATTGAATTGCAATTGAATACGAAGAAATCGTAAAGATATTGAGAAATAGCAATAACAATAATAACAACAACAACAACTGCAGAATTGTATACACGCAAACAGATGAAATAAAAATCAACAACAACAAAAAGTCTTTTCAAAAGCCAACGAATTAAATAAGAAATTCTGTTAAATTACTTTCAATTTTGATTACATCAACGAAGCGGCAGGCACGCACACAACAAACAAACGCTCACAACACAGCAACAGCGTTTCCAGCCCAAACCACCCACTCGCGCAGCCTAGCAGTAGGTGTATGTGTGTGCCATTGGCGCGCCTACAAGCGGGCAAATAGCCCACGAGGCAGAGGCAAGCGGACGGATAGACAGATAAGTGCTAAAAACACATACGTACATACATCAACACACTCACTTATATATTTATGTGAGTATATGAGCACCTTGAACCTCAGCCGCAATTGGTTGCTCTTGTTGTTGTAGTTTTGGCGTCGTCTAATCATCGTCGCACTTTGTAGTAGCTTCCAATTGTTGCAGACAACGCCGGCGTATTGCTATTGTTGTTGCACAGTTACTGAGTGCGCAGCAACAAACACTCCACTCGAAGCCACTTGAGTGCTTTGGAACTCTTAATTGGTGAGTGAGCTTATTTTTTATTTAAAAACAATTCAGCATTTATTCCTTTTTTCTAGTCGTTTCAAATAGAATAAGACGAAATGACATTAATAGACGCTTATGAATGTGTGTGTAGGTCTGTTCCAATGAATGTGAACGAGCGCTGAGGCGCATGATTGAATGGGTTATTGGTCGGCCTTTGTTTTTTGCGTTTTTGCGTGGGAAAATCATAACGGCATGCACGAAATGTGACGTATGTGGGGAAATATTTATATATACATACATATGTATGTATGTATATGCTTCTGTGTGTGTGTGAGTGCGCAATTTTTATGTCCCCATAAATATTGAAACTTTAGGCGCCATTTCTAAAACGTATTACGGTAAATTCAGTAATATTTTAATATCCTTCACTAATTGAAATTCAATTAAATAGTTTCGGTAAAAAATTATTAATAAACAATTTTTATGTAAAAAATTTTTTACTTTGCAACATTTTCATTTTCGTATTTTTTGCATGTGAAAGTATATGCTCAGTGAAATTTTTAAATTAATTTGCGTGGATAATGGATTAGCCCTTTGCTGGTGCTGCTAAAATTTAAGTTGAATTTTCGTCATAAATCACTTGGCCTACATTCAGGCGTCAAAACCGAACAGACTAACAATGTACCATGTTTGTACGAAGATAGATAGTTTGTGTAGAGCTCGTCCTGCAGAGCATATTGCATACAGTGGCGCTTAAAATGAACGAGAGTCTAAAAAATAACGGGTTTGGATGGCATATTTAAACTTGGCGTTGGCAATTGAGTTCAAAAATTTATATTTAAATTTTTTTATGTGGTTGCAACTACCTTGACTAACCGTAATTTAATAAATTGCTGTTTTTACTTGCATATTTGGCTTGTCAGTGCAGTTGGTCTTCTCTTACTCTCCCATTATACAAATTTTCGAACCTAAACTGGTCAGCAAATTTCTGAAATTTAACAAAACGGTTTAACCGCTTTTAGTGGCAAGTTTGGGTTTACAATTTCGCTTATTCGGTAGCTTTCTCAACACACTGGTAATCACTCCGGGTCATATCGCCAGTTAGATTATTTGTTTGTAAAACATGAAAAAACATTAAAATAGTTTCTAAACATACACGAATTTGATTTTGATCAGTTAGTTTGCATTGCAGCTAAAGGGTGCTCCATTTCGAGGTTCCCTACTTTTTTAAAGAGAATACACAGTAGCTTCAAATTTAATGGGAAATGTTTGTTATCATTCGAAGGAACATTCTTAGGCATTTGCTTTTTGGAGATCATCTGTAAAATGTTGATCACGGCTACGTCTCAAATGGTCCATCCATTGAGTTCAACTTTCTATGACTAGTTCCTATCGACTGGCGTGATGTTAGGCTCCATAGACTTAAGACTTTACATATTTCCACAGGCACTAATCTAACGGTGTTATATCACACGTTATTGGTGACCTATCGATTGCCCCAAAACGTGAAATTATCTATTCACCGAAGTGTTCTCTCAATAAATCCATTGTTTGTTGGAATGTGTGGTAAGTGGCGCCGTCTTGTTAAAACCAAATTTCGTCGAGATAACGAGCTTCAATTTCAGGCATCAAATAGTCGGTTATTAAGGCGCGATAACAGTCGCCATTAAATGGTTACGTTCTCATCCGGCATCATTTTTGAAGAAATATGGATCGATGATTCCACTGGCCCACAAACCACACCAAACCATGTTTTTTTTTTTGATAAAATTGCAGTTCCCGAATCTCTTGACTATAAAACGTCCGATCTTCTTGTATCTTTTCAAGAACCCATAGAGCGAAGCGATATCACTTGTCAAGGTCGAGCGGCTTCAGTTCTTGCAGAAGATGTATTTTGTCCGCTTTCAATTAAAGATCTCGACGTAAAATGCGCTAAGTCGTTCCATACGTCAGTCCGAGTTGCTGCAAACGGCACCGAATTGCCTCTCCACGCTCCTCATTTACACTCCCAGATCTGATATTTTGTTCACTGCTTGCTGGACGTGGTCTATTCGGTCAAATAAATAATGCTGGGCCTTAAAGGGGTTAGGGGTAGTTAGAATTAAAAAAAAAAATTCGTTAATTGTAATATCTTAAAAATATTCTCTGAAAATTTCACGTTGATCCGATAATTAGTTTTTGAGTTATTCGACAAATAACAAAGACAGCTCGGGCACTTCAAAGCGCTAGTGTGAAACTTTAAACGCGTTTTTCTCAAAACTTTGTTTTTTAAACTGGTGACAACTGTCATTCGAAAATCGCTCAGTAGATTTTAATGAAATTTATACAGCTTTTAGAATACATAATACAAATTTTTAAAAAACTTTGATTTTTTCGCAAAAATTTAGAATAAAATTTCCTGAGGCCGCCATTTGTTAATTTTGAATTTAACTATTTATAAAACTAATTTTTTTTTGTCGATTGACTTTAGCTGAATCTCCAAGGAGTTATGGTTGTCACCACACGTACCTTTTTTTTGGAAAAGGGTCAACACAAACAACTATAACTTTGTAAATTATTATTATTGTTTTTTTTTTTGAAATTTTCCTGGCTTCAAGTCAACACATTCTATAATAATGCCATATTATTACTTTTGTAAAATAAAAACATTTAATAGCAAAAAAAAAAAAAAATACTGAAAATTGTAATTTTTTCGTGCCTCTGATTACCTCTAACCCCTTAACCCTTAAGATGGGAGATGGTGCTGCCAATAAGTCAGTAGGCCGATTATGTCGATCATAAGTTGAGCGAAGCGCGTACTTATTCTTTACGTGAATTTTCATAATAAAGTTGATCGATTTGTAAACGTTATTCAGACTTAAAGCCTTCCTTGATGAAATGCCAAACATAGACAGTTTTACACGATTCGCGCGTGATCTGTCATCAAAAAGAACCCCTACTTGGGTCATCTGTTATATGCTATAGTGGTCCGATGTCGAAGGTTTTAACAAATGAACAGCTTCTTGGGGAGAAAAGGACGTGAGCATAATTTCAGTTCGATATCTCAAATACTCAGGGAATAGTTAGCGTATATATAGACAGTCGGATATTGAAAAATATTATTTACCGTTAGAGAGCTTATGTAAAATATCGTCAGTGGCTGAAAATTAACGGATTTCGTTTGCAGATTTGGTTTATAAATAACCTATTGAGTCTCTCCTCTCAGTATCGCATTGTTTTTTAACCCGGTGACGATCACTTATGGTTATTTCGACCGACAAGTTAATTTTTTTTTATATTTTCGTCTGGCTTTAAATTTATAGAAAAAAAAAACAAATTGTACAGTTGAGATGTCACTGAGCCATTGAACCCTGATTATCAGCTAAAAATCTTTAAAAATTTATATTCATATCAGAAAAGATGCCAAAACTATAATGAGAAAACTTCAAAAGTGAACACACTTCAACCTTATTATTAATATTAGTACTGCTTTCCAAGTCTAACCCCTCCAAAAACAAATTTAACGCTTTCATAACGTTGAATATTTATGATCACCACTGTTTAAAAATAGTTTACAACAACACGGTGTCAAGTGAACCCCAACGCACGGCAACGCTCCAAAGGCAATAGCTTAGTTGATATGCGCTAAGTGCCAAACACGTTTCCTTGCGTCCTTATGAGCACGTCTTCTCAGCGCCACGTCGTCTCAGCACCACGTCTTCTCAGTTGTCTATAGCCATGTTCTGCGCGGGTAAATTGCTCCTTTCATACACCCATATACCCATGTATCTTCCACAAATAGTTCAACGGCTTTAACTAACACGACAACAACAACAAGTGCTTGCTACAAG